AAATTAAATTACAAAATAAAATGTTATATATTAAAACTTAATATGATAAGACTATATTATAGAATTTTATCAACATGGAGACATCTGAATGAGGGTTACTTTACTTATGCCTTGTTTGTCTCTGTTCTCCAAGGCGCTTGACTCCATTGTTGTCTCCTCAGTTCCACATCTCCTTTCACTGCTTTTTTCCTAATCGTCTCTTTTCCCATGGCAAAAAAATCTTATGATCATCTTTTTAAACTTTTATTGATAGGAGATTCTGGGGTTGGCAAAACCTGTCTTTTATTTAGATTTACCGATGACACATTTTCTTCCTCGTTTATTTCTACTATTGGAATAGATTTCAAAATAAAGACTATTGAGATTGATGGGAAAACTATTAAATTACAAGTATTTTGTTTTGCATATTATATTGATAGATCTGGGACACAGCCGGACAAGAGCGATTCCAAACCATTACCCAATCATATTATCGCGGTGCGCGCGGCATAATGCTAGTATATGACATCACAAATAGAAGGAGTTATGAGAATATTGATAAGTGGATGACTAATATACGAATGCTTGCCTCCTCTGAAGTGGAAACCTTGGTAGTCGGCAATAAGAGCGACCTGGAAGAGCAGAGGTGTGTTTCCTACGATGAGGGTGCAGAGCTGGCCGCCAAGCATAACGTAATATTTTGTCTGTTTTAAAGTTGTTTTCCTATACAGGTTCCTTTTCTTGAAACTAGTTCAAAAGGAGGCATTAACGTTGATGACGCATTTCGCAAGCTCTCTAGGGCGATTTTATGGCAAACACCAAGCAAAGAAACCGAAACGCAGAGTCCTATATCTGGACATCTCCTCAATCAGTCTTCTACATTTCCTCTTCCGACATATTGCTGTAAACAGTAGCTTCGTCACCTATTAACTCGTTTATTATTCTCGGCGAAAAAAATTGTCGAATTTACTCCGAACTTGAGCTGGCTTTCTCATTCGAGGCGCCATTTGCCACGTTTTTGCTCGCGAGTAAAATTAGGCAGTTGAGTCAATACTATTTCCGGCTGTGTTTGACACTAGCCAGAGGCTATATTATTTTGAAGCATTCTTGATGATCATTTATTGTTCATGTCAATACGCTTCCCATCTGATTACTACCATAGATCCGACGCTAGCACTTCTCCCTTTCTCACTTATCGCCAATTCTTTAATTCTGTTTACCCGATTCCATCACATTTTACTCTGTGTTTTGCCTTATAGGTACGCTATTCTTTGTATTCGCATACATTTTTTGGAGTTTTTTTT